CAGTCAGTCAGTCAGTCAGTCAGAATCGCGCATATATACACAGTAACCATTACTAATTCTAATCTACTTTTGTAGGTTTGTTTGAGCTCGAATCATTCGGTACTAGCCTTATACGTGTAAAGAATGCTAAAACAAGACAATACTTTGCTATCAATAAGAAGGGGAAAGTGTACACCACGGTAAGTAAACTTCCTTTAAATTTACGACATTTAATCTAACAATCGCCTGCTGGCCCTCTCCCTCCCCCCGCTCTTGCTACGCTCCTGCAAACAACATCGTTTGAAAACTTTTCTATAAAAACATAAAAATGATTTGAGTGCACACACAAATAAAATCCGTGGAAAAGTAAGAAACTGAATACACTAAATTGTTGAGAAACTTGTTGTAAATTATATATATTTTTTCTTTGATCCAGAAACAACGAACACAGGAAACACTGCTACACACTCGTCTCCTATCTTCTGGGTTTACTGTCTTCTGGTCTTACTCCCATCACAGAAAAAGAGGAAGGTCTGTTAACCTATATCTTGGAATTAAAAGAAACGGCGATTTGAAAAACGCTTCAAAGACGACTGCAACTCACAGGTCAAGTCATTTCTTTGTCATATACTCGTAGTTCGGCCCTTGAAGCGACAAAGCAATAGGCCAAATTGAACTACGAGGTCACGTGACTTACCCTCGTTAAACCAAGCAGTTGTGCCAGAAATGGAAAGAACACTTCGATATGAATGGTTTGCCATTATTTTCAAGAGTCAAGAGACAAAGACATGGTGGCCATATTGGAGGTATTAACAAAGGAAGGAGAAATGAGGCGAATTTTTTGTTAAATGCCACCAACATGGCGACGATGACGTAACGTGGAAATGAAGAATTAGTAAGAAGGCGAACTGTTTCAGTTCATGATATATGACAAAAGAGAAATGGCAATGGGAAAATGTGCTGAATGCATTGAATTTGTCACACATGGGTTGCGTGACGTGAGCTCATTCTCCTATATTTCAGAACGGTCATAAGAGTAAGTCTGTTGACAAAGATCTCATTAGTATTCCCTAGCTAATAGGACAAACTAGTGCAGTTTTCGTACGACTGTGAAAAGTTCACGGCACGAACACGGTCGTGACACGGCAAGGGATACGCCAAACAAATCACATTGCACGAGAATTTACTCTTCATCCAATCAAATACCCGGAACACGGCATAAACACAGCGTGGACACGGTCAGGCTAAGATCACGGCACTTTAAGACCAATCATATAGCGCGTGAAAAAAATCAGCCAATTAAAATTCTAGAAAGTATCACGGTCAGGGCACGTCACGCTTACGGCACTGAGCTTTTCACAGTCCTACGAAAACTGCACTACTGGAAGGGATTATCGAAACGGAATTAACAGCTCAACATAAAAAGCCATGAAAAGATGGAATCTATGGGCTAGAAAAGTCCTTTACTGAAGCATTTAACTATGACAGACCTCTTGTTAACCCTGGGGTGTAAGGTTTTCCTATTTCAGACCACCTGTCATTCTCTTGAGAATAACTGAGATTATCATATAATTATCCATAAAATACCTATATTTCTCCTTTTCGAAAAACTGATATTTTCACATGTGAAAATAACATGTTATTTCACATGTGAAAATATCTTTACCATGTGTTTTTAAGCTATTAGTTAGTTATAATAATAAAAAGCATTATAATATTACATGGCCGCTTGGAGATACGAAATTTATCTTCTCGTGTTGAAAATCTCACACTCGTTCGCTGCGCTCACTCGTGAGAGACCTTTTCAACACTCGAAGATAAATTTCGTATCTCCGCGCGCCCATGTAATATCCTCTATTTCTTTTTAAGATTCGAGTTGTATCCATGTTCATGTGTCTTAGTCATATGCAACTGTAAACAAAGAAATGATACACTTTGGGATGACATGTGGTCTAAGAAAAGAAAACACTTTGCCCAAAGTAAAGAAGTCTATAAATTAAGCCTTTTTGAAAATTCAAAAATAATAAGAGAAAATAGTAACATCAAGCAACAAAGGAACAGAGCTTATTTTATTTTTATAAATTGAAACTTGAGCCAAACACAAAAAAAAATATTTATTTGTATTTATTTAAGACAATCATGTGAATGGTTGGAACATTGCTATTGTTGAGAACTGTGAACTGAAAACTGTTCATGAAATACATGCTTATAATAAACACGGATAAAAAAGTAATTGTTTACACCGTTGTTGCCCATGTCAATAGGAAGGAAGCCCCTTCATCTGCACCCTTTGGTTCTCACAAAGTAAGGTAGCCTTTAGTCCAGACACTGGCCCCTCCTTTGACCGCTCTGCCATATCGTATCGCTACCGACGCCATTTTGTTCAACACAGCACAGGAAGCCCATCAAGGTACACATCCATGAATATGGGAGCCCTGTGTTGAACAAAATGGCATCGGTAGCGTATGGTCTGTTTTTTAATCGCTGCAAATGATGTGATTAAGTATCTCTTTATTCAAATCAAAGAATAACAGTGAAAGCTTTAATCATGCGGTTTAGACGATAAAAGAAGTTATGTCTGTTCAGCATACTTCAGTGAATTTAGGCAGACAGAGAATGGCCTGAGAAGAAACAGTTGCCATGAAGGTAAAGTTCAATAAAAACACATAATGTGCCCTTGTTTTTTTAAATTCATTCTTTATTATTTTTATTTTTAGGCCTATCCAAGTAGGTGGTCCACAGACCCCGAAGGTGGTCCATTGACCGGGTCCAGGTTTTGTACCCACCCGTCACAGGTAGAACAACAAAAGCAGAGCTGTCAAAAGAGAGGCCAGTGTTTGGACTAGGTAACCTTTGGGAAGGCATTTCCAAAGGGGGGGGGGGGGGGGGGGGGGGGGGGGGGGAAGGGGGGGGGGGGGGGGGGGGGGGGTGTGAGGAGGAGTAAAGGGAGAGGAAGAGGATGGAAGGAACTCTCTTTCTTCCTTTTTTACCTTCAGCCCTCCAAATCTCTTTAGGCCAGTGTAGTCACAAATGGCAAATGGACTTTTTATATTCGGCTTACAAGCTTCAAAAGCTCTCAAAAAGTCAAAAAATAGAGTTTTGTATCGGGGTTAAAGTAAATGTTTAGGAATAAAAAAACAAAGATGAACAAAGACGAATTGGACCTTAGTCTAGTCATGCATGTGCATGATGTAGCAGATAAATTTTCAAAAATATGAGTGAGTTTATAGCACGAAACGATAATCTACAAATAACAAAAGCAACAGAAGCCAGCGGCAAATATAATAAACAGCACCAGCAACAACAGCAGCAGAAACAACAGCAGCAGCAACAACAAAAGCCGCAACAACAACAGCAGCAACAACAACAGCAGCAACAACAAAAGCCGCAACAACAACAGCAGCAACAACAAAAGCAGAAAATCAAAACACAAGAAAACACAAAACACGAAGCACAACACATAAACACGTTGGAATTCACTATAACTCTAAGTACCTGTATCAACATGCCAATGGACTGTGGTGTCTTCACTATGCAGAATCGTTTCCTAAAATTAGCCTTTTAGTCGATTGTTTTAAAACGACTTCTTCAGTTCGAGTGGAGTCGTCCGCCATTTTGAATTACTTTGATTGGTCTTTGAGCCCGCGTTATTTTAAATGCTAAACAACAAGACTATGATCCAATCAGATTCCCTGATCTATGTAGGTTATGAAAAATTGAAAATGCAATGCGTGAGAATAAATGAATAAATAAATAAATAAATAAATAAATAAATAAAAATAAATAAATAAATAAATGCATGCATGGATGGATGGATAAATAAACTACTCGAGCCAGTAAGAAAAACGCATAGTATTATTTTTACTATTTATTATTATTATTATCGATTATTATCCTTATTTAGTATATTTGATGGAATTTCACACATTGACCCAAATCCAAGTACAGTATTTCCCAATCTCGTGATTTCATATTTTAGGCAGGTTTTCTTATGCAAATATGTCCAAGAATACAAATATATATTTATTTAAATTATATGAAAGTAGTGCTTTTTGTTGTTTATTTATTAAAAATAAATCGTTAAATAAAGAGTTTATTATTAATATTATAAATGTAATATATTCTTCTTTGTGGAATTTTCATTGTGCAGTTGGTTGTTACAGTGTAATAGAAACACCGTTTGCATGAAGGAGTTATTTACGACTATCAAATTGCTTTCCAGATTTTTCTTTCTTATTTAATTTTTCTCTCTCATGAAAATAGTACGACCATTGGTGCTAATTAACTAAACAAAAGAAATTAAGTGTGCAAAGGATTCTGGTAGTTGTAGTAATGACGCCATACTAATGCTAATGTACTATTACTGTGCTGACCACTAACCGGGACCACTTGAATAAAACCGACCAATCAAATAACAGTACACAGCGTTAGCCAATCAGATTCCCACGTTCTCACGCTCTTATTATATTGATGAGTTTTCTGATTGGCTGGTTAAAATATCGAATTGAATGTCGCAATATGGTTGGCTAATGATACTAGTTGATCAAGGTGGTCCCCGTTGGAGTACCGTTGTATCAAAACATTGAGAGGAAAACTTTGAGGATTGATTAGGAGCGGGATTGAAATTATTAGGAAGGAAGAAAGGTAGGAAGGATTAGAGGATGGTAGGAAGAAAGAATGAAAGTATTGAATAAAAAGGAAGTGACATTCAGACAAGGAAAGGAAGGACAAAAAAAGGAGAGGATGTTTGCTTGGTCTGGTTATTTGTTTTTTTCGCTGGTGCTCAGAATCAAAGTCTTCTCGAGAACAAACCGAGCTACGTCACATGAACCCCAGTACGCGATGTGAGACGTAACGGCTGATATATAGTTATTTTCCATATAGCCCTCTCTTAACACGTAGTCTAGACGGTCATTCAGTACTGAAAAAACAATGAAAGCACAGGCCATGTTAGATACATTTCCGCTGAAGCGGTTTTTGTTATGGTTAACTATAGGGTAAATTTGTAGCCGTAAGGCCATACGTATCTTACCGCAACCGTAACCACGCATTGACTCGATACAAGAGAATTGCGAACGCAACGACGAGGAAGTGGCACCGTGTATGCAGCTAGCTGTCGTGAGCAACAATTTTCATCGTGTCAACACGAAATGCACCTCCTACAAAATTCCTGGGGATAATACTGAAATGAATAGTTGTTCAGTGTGACATCTTTTGAAAAATCTACTCGGAGAGCAACGTTGCACATAAGTGTATGTGAACTGTATGTGAATAGAGTCTAATTCCCTTTAATATTGATGAATAAAGGGGGCACCTAAAGAAGGGAGAGAAAGATACTTGGTTGCAGGGAAACCTCTTTACCTTGTGGGTGTTTTCACATTTTAATTCACGTCTCATAAATAATTCCACGATTGCGCGCGAGAAGACACATCAATCTGGGATGCTTTCCATTTGCCCGGAAAAACCGGAAATTTCGGTTGGAAAACAAATGATACGTGTCATTCCGATCGGAAGGTTCCGGAAAACTATGTCTTCCAATTGAGGTATTCCACTTTTGCCGCTCTTTTTGGTTTTCTTTGGGTAGACGCGTGTACCATTTTTCAAAAGTCAAAGTTTCCCGCTCTTTTCTTACCATTAGCGAATGAATTTCTACTAGACTCAACTCAAACAAAGAAAACTGTTTCCCGCCAAAGAGAATGACAGCTTGTCTGAAATGGGCAAACATTGTGCCCAGGCTATAAAGGTCTATTCAAACGCGTTCAGTTAATAAATAGCTCTATACTCGAGCGTATTTAATTATAGAGTCCTGACGGAACTTCTAACATACATACCTCTTCCAGGTACGACAACATGTTCGCCTTTGATTTTCTTTGGTGAATCATCTGGTGCAGCAGCTCCGTCAGCTTCAGTACGCGCTGCTTCGTGTACATCTTCTGTCGACTTGGCCGTTTTTCTCGGTGACCCGAACCAACTCGACATCCAACCACTTTTCTTCTCGTTTACACCTTTCTCTTTACTGGCTGCAGCTTTCATTTGCTCCTGTTTTTCTTGTTTTTCCGGTTTTTCTTGTTTTTCCTGTTCGATCGCAGCAGCATGGTCGACAATCACTAATTCATCCTCTTGGCTTTCGCTGTCGTCGCTTATCGAGTTTGACCTGGACATATCCTCTTCTTTATTCTCTTTGTGTTTGTTGTACCCTACTCGGTAATTAAACAAGCTCCAGCCTGATTTCTCGGAGGGAATTTTTTTCTCCTCGGCATAGCCAGACTTGGCATGATCGAAGCGATGCAGTTGAATGGGTGGAATAGATGTGTAGTCTTCGCTGATAAGGGGCTCGAGTCGGTAAGCCTGAAGAGTAATTGAAAACCGACCTTTTTGTAGATGAGCGTGTTAGGGGTCTGTAAAAGGAGGGAAACCAGAAAACCTGGAGAAAAACCCTCTAATCGAGGGAGAGACCCAACAAACTCTACTTACATGTCAAGTTCTGAAATCAAATCCGACATCTCAGAGGTAAGAGGCAAGTGAACTACAGTTAGTCCACCCTTGTCGGATTCCCAAATGAATTCATACCCGTATTAGACCTTTTTTACTGATATGGCAGCCACTTTTAATTATGGGATGCCCAGCGAGCAAATGTAGAAATATTTATAAAGCATAGAGTGTGACAAAGTTACTTTTTCAAATGATTTTACGTTTTGGTGTTTTAAATATCGCTCCAACTACCAGCAAATTCAATTGGTTTTAAGATGTGTTTCACATTGGATAACGTAAAGTGCTGTCTATAGATTTTCCCATATTTGCTCCCACGGCATCCCGTAATCTCTTACTGAAAACAATAGAATTCAAGATGGCCGCCGTATCAGTAAAAAGGTCTACTCTTTATTGTCTTACTTAAGTATTACTTAAAATTCAACTAAAAGAGCAGTTTTCGTATGACTGTGAAACGCTCGCGGCAAGAACACGGTCGTGACACGGCAAGGGATACGCCAGACCAATCACAATGCACGAGAATTTACTCTCCATCCAATGAAATACCTGAAACACGGCATAAACACAGCGTGGACACGGTCACGCCAATGTTACGGCACTGCCAATCCAATCACATCGCTCAAGAAAAAAACTGAATCCGCCAATCAAAATTCTAGAAAACATCATGGTCGCGGCACGGCACGAATATTTCACGGTCATGCGAAAACTAATCAGAATGACAGATGGGTACTTACGACAGGATCTGCTGGATGGTAGATGTTGAACATTTTTTTACATACAGCCTTGGGAAACACGTGATCTTCTACGTCATCTTGAGGGCGAATACCACGTAAAGTCAGAAACACAGGGAGCGGGGAGCCGATGCAGAATAGATTTTCTACCTTTGGGTTTAAGAAATAAAAGAAAAATGAGCTCACGTATGTAACTCAGGCACCTTAGGGAAGGTGTGTGTGTTGAGTTTGTTTGATGTGTTGTTCTCTCCCTTGCCACAAGACTTTTTCTCCGGGTATCTAGTTTTCCTCACTATATAAATCAACATGTGAGCTGAATGTCGTGTCTTGTAAATAGTGAATGTAGTGGTAGCGTGTGTGGAGCACACCTCACGGAGAGTGATGGTGAAATATGATAAAAATCTTTACCTTGAATTTCAACGCATAAGGACAAAATTCGCCTGTCGCTGTTTCAATTGCTTTCTCAAACTCCAACTCAGTCTTTAACATGGCTTCCAGTTCCATGACAGTGTTGCGAGCCTTTGACAGCTCAACTCGTATATTTTCTTTCGGTTTAGTAAGCTTTGCCTTCTTCTTCGCATCTTCGTTGAAATTATTACTTTCCTCTTCGGAAGTCCCAGCCAGGTTTCGCAGGAACGTGAAGCTCTCGGTTAAAAATCCAGTTCTTCCGAGTTCGTCTTCACTCGCATGTCTTAACTCTACGTCCCATAATGAGAGGATATCGTAGGTGATTACACTGCCCAGAGAGTGAGCTATGATCGAGACTTTACAACGGTTTTCTATGAACGAAGGATTGCGTGAACAGAAGGCGTCATAGATGCGGTTCATCTCGTCTCTTACTCCATTGATAATCTGCAAACGATGAACAAATATGTGTTTGTTGGATAAAAAAATAGTTGGATAGTTGGATGGATGAAGGATGGGTAGGGGTTGGCTGGGTAGGGGTGGCTAGATAGGTAGGTGGGTGGATGGATGAGAGCGGATGTGTGGTCAGATTGATGGGTAGGGATGGCTTGGTAGGTAGGTGGGTGGATGGATGAGAGTGGATGTGGTCAGATTGATGGTGTGTGGGTGGGTGGGTATGTAGGTGGGTAGTTGGGTGGTTGGATGGATAGATGGATGGATGGATGGATGGATAGATGGGATGGGTGGGCGGGTGAATGGATAGATGGGTGGGTGGATGGATGGATGGGAGAATGGATCGATGGTTGGACAGAGGCAATACGAATCTTAAACCAAGCATTTGAACAAAACCCACCTCATATCTATAGAAGGGACTAGTGTAGTACATGATATCCATCATGCTTGTATTCAACACGTTTCGAATACCAGTCACAGTCTTCGGCGTGATGCTTTCAATCGTACCTGTTCATTGATATCAGTTATACATTAGTATGGATCGAGGCGATAGCTCATGATCGTTGACTAAAGACTCATTTACACAAGGTTAGCCTCATTTTAGTGTCCAAATATTCGCAAACACCAACGGTGAAGTGAAAAGTGCACTACTTCAACATTACAAACAATTTGGAACTCCACGACTTTGCTTGTTTAGAGTGGTTTTCGTATATGAGTAGGAACTGACAATACGGGAAATTTGTGGCCATATCGCAGCCTTGCCGTAGACTGTCTTACTGTAGCCGTAACTATGCATTGTGATTGGACGAATTACTGGAAGACAAAGGGAAGCCATTTCAATGTTGCGGTATGTCGCGCCATGTACTAATACGAAAACCGTCCAGTGGAGCGCCTGATACAGCAGAATGAGAAATGTAAATGGATCTGGCGATGAGGGGAAGGGACCTGTCAATACATACCTGGAATCCAACCCCTCCCCAGGCACCCTGAAGGCATGATACTCAGGTTAATACATACCTTCATCCAGTTTCAAAGACGATCTCCATTCAACTGGCAGAAACTCGATGCGCTGATCTTCAGGAAATCCAGGGATCTTTTTCTCTAATACTTTACTAACAGACGTACGTAAACTGTAAGGGGTAAAAACAGTTGTTACGACATCAGTGTGCATTTATAACATAGATAAAATGTTTTGAACGGACTACTACGACGATATGACTTTGATCAGTATCGGAAGATCGATTTTTTTCCTGCGAATTTCTGCAAGTAGTATAGGGTTCCCACTCACAAGGCATCCGCTCAAATATTTCTTAAATTTATTGTTTTTTTCCGTTAGGGCAGGGACGCTTAAAGGTCTAACCATTTTCAGATGTAATCACAGTCATTTTAGAACCCGAGTGTTGGTCCGTCCGAGGCTTGAACCACAACCTCTCACACAACAGACCAAAGCTCTTACCAATAAGCCTGAAGCGAGATGACCTCGACTCTATATCATAATAGTTTTTAAAATTCTTTCGTATTAAAGCTTTTGATTCCTTAGAGAATACAGGAACAATAGTCATAATTAAAGAAGAAAAGCAACGTGAAAAGGATTATGGTCTAGAGATGGGGGTAAAACGTCATCTCGCTTCAGGCTTATTGAGCTAACCGGGTGGCGGTTAAAATAAAAAGTACATGATATTTCCACTACTTACTCCTTGGCATTTCTGACTATATTGCTCATATGCAACAACTGACCAATCCCATGAATCACGAACACTAGGTGTGTGATGTCACAGGGACCATCTTTGACTATAGCATCTGTATGATAGCCACGATGAAGAGGGCTTGCGGAAACCCCTGCAAACACACATTTAATATACAACAATAGTCCCTTTCACAGTTCCCTGCACCATCTTCAAAGGTAGCCTTATCTTTGCATTGAAGCGAGATGAACGGTGAGCTTGCAATGATAGAAACCTTTTTTGACRCCTTGGACAAATATTCATATCAAGTCTCCATCATTGCAACCCACCTTTCGTCTCACATCAATGCAAAGATGGCACAGGGAGATTTGAAGGGGACTACTTAATCATTCTAAAATACTTAGAGATAAATTCTGAGCAGTCCCACCCTTCTGAGAGCCCAACACTTGAAACAGTAGCTGTAAGGAATGTGTTCTTAAGGCCCTGACCAACAGTCCAGACATTCAAATTACACTTTATTTAACATTTGTCAGGTCAAATGTTGGGAGCTTTTGTCATCAACATTGTCTGCCAACAATGTAGGGTCAAAATGTTGGCTAAATGCTGAGCCAAATGTTTGCTAAATCCTTAGTCAAATGTTGGGTCAAATGTTGGGAGCGTTTGTCAGGGCCTTTAGTAGTTTTGTCTCTACCTGAGGATAATCCAATCTTAGTGCCAACACCTCTTATGATTCTTGACTTGATATCATCCCAATACAGCCAAACATCATTGATTTCCTTCCATTCAACGTAATAGCCTTTCAAGTTCAAGCGACCTAGTGCTGAAATACAAAGAATGTGTTCATGAACTTTAAAATTAATATTTGTATTTTATAAAAGAAATATAATTGAGTTAAAATTCATACCATCTCCTAATTTAGACTTGTCAGGTTCATCTTGTGTTGGTCCAACATGAAGCCCCTGGAATGTATTAACATGAAAATTACATATATATTATTTACAGGCCAGCAGGCCAGGAGGTCTGGATAGAGAAAGATTGCAGGCAATAAGCCTAGGCCAGTTTCCAAGGCCAAAAGCACAGTTTTCCCCTATCTTGACCAACTTTAGGCTGTTAGGATACTGTACTGGAAAAAACAGGACTGCTTTTTTTATTATTATTTTTTATGCTGGAGACTCCAATAATAGTGAAATAACCCTTTTAAAAGTCTGTAAAATACTGCCGTGTTTTCTTTGATTACCCATGTACTTACAGGGACTGCAGTGCAACCTAAAAAATGGGAGGCTAAGATTGAGACTAGTGTGGGAAAAAGTGGGATGCTATCGCCTCTTTCCCCCAACCCTTCCACGGCCCATGACTGAGTGGTGGTCTGATTTTAGAATCAAAATACTCACAAGTACCAATGGTCAAGTAAAGTGCACAAGTTCAACAAAACAAACACTTTGAAATTCCATGAATCCTTTGAATGGTCAGAATGCCCGAGTGCCTTTACACATAATTAAGGCACACCCTTGGTTACAGATGATTTGAAAGGCATATTTTCTGATGTTATTTTCATCTATCAAATTTATCTAAATTGGGTTCCCTGTGTATCATTCAGGTATGAATGATTTGGTGTTCATATAAACCCTGGTCAGCTTACCATTGCCCTCCATAGTGACTGATGTGAATTCTCTATTTGATCAGCATCTTCCTCACTGACCGGCTGCCACAGATTTGGTGATCCTGGTGTACCAATAAACCATGTACCACGGCACACTGCCATTCCCTTTTCTAGATATGATGAAGCATTCAATACATTACTAACCGAAAGCATACTGCTCCATTCACTCCATTCACTCCAAACAAAAAATTAAGTGTGTTTCCTGTTGCACGAGGGTCAGTAGGTCGAATTTTTTATTTTAATTTTTTACTGATACAACAGTGGAGATGGGCTTACTGGGAACCCTTTGGTGCATTTGGGAATAAAAAAATATTAGGGTTGACAAAAATTGGCAAGAAAATTAGGGTCAGTCGGGCAACAGGAAACACAATTATTTTTTTGTTTGGCCTAATACAGCATACAGAAGTGTTAAAAGCAACAACAAGTAGTGCTTCTTGTAATGAGTGTTTCTGGTGTTTCATTAGTCCTGTGTCACAAACTGAACATGGGAAAAGCTGCTTTATTTGCATGTGTGTGTGCTGGCCATGGTAGAGTTATAGAATCACTTGGGAATTAGCAGACCACTCAGGAAATACTGGAAAGCACTCTGCTGCACATTATGCTAGCGCCTCCCAACACTTCTCTCATATTCTGCTAAGCCCCCAGCAAGGGCAGATCTAGTGGGGCTAAATTGGGCAACTACTAACCTCCCTTTGGAGTTGAAAAATAATAAGAATAAAGGATCCTATAAGGTAAGACCTAATAAGGATGCTATGTAATGCCTTTCTAGGTAACATTCGACCCCGTTGAAAAAGGTCTGGATCTGCTGCTGCCTGCATGCTTTATACTGCACACAGCACACATGCACTTTCTTTTTTTTTAGGAAATGAGAAGTCAAGACGTAATTACTGCTATCAAAATGCAGCATTCATATCTGAGGTTTTAATTTCATGCTTTTCATTAAGGCCCTTTTATACATGAGAGAAAATAAGAGGCAGCCTAAATAAGATGCAGACTGATTCAATGAGTTATATTAGTTTGTCTTACAGTACATAAGACATAAATATCATGTATAAATAGTTCACGTCTTATTTGGGCTGATTTGTCAATACCTATCTTTGTCTTTATGGGCTCCCTGTGTGAAGTTGCCCATGCAAACATTGTGTTCGCCTCTTTTCTTAACTAGCTAAGATGTGTCCTTTTCAAGGTATGACTTAACTTAGAATAGCTCGTAACCCTGTTCTTAAATAAGATGTGTGTTATTCAAAAATAAGACACAAAGACAGATTTTGTACTGGTCACACAGTCAGATACCCTGCAAGCAGTCTCTGTCTACCTCCTCAACAAAGAGGACAGATGGTGTCTTATGTAAGACACACCTTATGTAGGACACACCTTATTTTCCCCTGTAACAATGACCCTATTATGCTATAAAGACTCTTGACTGACATACAGAATACCTTTCCAGTATATAGGACTACACTGTCTAGCCACAACATCCACCTCGTATAGACCTCCTTTAACAATGGGGAAATCATACAGCATTGTAGTATTCAGAGGTTTATCAGGGTCTGCTTTGGGACTGGACGTTTCTAGCTCCTTTATTTTGCGAAATGTTTCCTCAATTGAAAGTGAATCTCTGCCATTAAAAGGAGTCCATCTTTTGTTGTCTTCCTCTTTGAAAAACCAACGAATCCTCTCGGGTCGTAGTTTTTGGAGTGCATCAAGATGTTGAGCAATGCTGGGGTTCCTTTTGATGTCTGGTGGAGGAGGTCGCGGTGGTCTTGAAGGTCTAGCCGGAGGACTTGAAGGAGACGACTCTTGTGATGTCTCACTTGGTTCATCAGCATTATCTTCCATCGCGAAATACAAGCTTCTTGTTTTTAAAAACTAAACAGCTTCTTTTAACTCTTATGACTCAAACCCAAGGCTGCAAACGAAAACAGCTTTGGAACAAAGACCAACGTATTTACAAAATAAATACTAAAACTGAAGTAAAAATAAACAATTTGAGATCGTGATGATCCTTGAAGTTACGTTGCTATTTTCATGATCTCTCGTCATGCATCCGCCATTTTGAAAATAACCCGACAACCCGGAAGTGAGCTGTGAGTCATCAGGTGATGTACTAACAGGGGAGGGGTAGGAAGGGACAGACACTTTTACTCAGGGAGTACCCGAGGGTATATTTTAAATTAAATCTTTAAACAAATATTAATCAGTATTTTTGTTAAACTAAGCACTGAAACGATAGCAAGAGCCCTTTAGGTGTTGTTAGTTTATTTTTTGTCAGTATAATTAGGTTTTTAAATTAAGTTTTTTGGTAGTGAAAAAGTAAGAGGGAAGGGGAGGGGTGAGTGTGCGGTTTGTTCAAAAGAACCGGAAGAGGCCAATGTAAAATGCTCCCGTCATGCTATTCGTATCTGTTAATGTTGATATTATCGGTAAAATAACAGCGTTGTGACCGCTTTGCGTGCTTAACCATGGTTATCTATTAGAAATATAACTCCAATGCACAAAATAAGTGAATGAAAAGCTAGATCGTACCACAACACTCAAGCCTCGTTGCTTCTAATCAAGAAATGCCGTTTGGCCTTCTTTGTGCTAGCGGATCGAAGAACGATGACTCCAGAACCTGGCAGGCGCATGTTGAACTCCTAGATAACTCTTTGCTCGATTTGGATTTAACCAAAGATACCACTGGAGCTGGTTGTTTGGAAATTATTGGACAGAAATTAGGGCTCTCTGAGGTAAGTCTGATCTTAGAAAATACGACTTTGATTTTTTTTTGTATGGAGAGTTTGTCAAGGTCTTGTCACGGTGTTGGGACGTCGGTGAGAGTATGTCAAATATTTAAAGTTCGTTGTATTAAAATAAAGATCAAGATATATATCTTAGGTGGTGAGAAAATTCAATGCTTTATAGTTCTATCTGTTGTTAAAAAAGACAAAAAATAGTTAAGATAAAGGCGTAAGAATGTTTTTAAAATATAACGTACGCAGGTCGATGTTGACACGAAGAAAACATGCCCTAACACAAGATTTCGTACTTACACGTACGTTTCGAAAGTTCACATTTTTTTAATTATCTGTATGCCAGCTAGATTATCTGATATTTCCTTTGTAAACCATGCCTCTCCCTCTTCAGGATCTAAGAGTATTTTTACTGAAGTCCAGACACTCTTGCTATAGCAAATCAATTGGTTTGCCAAAATCATGCAGTAAAACCACACATTACTCAAATATTCACCTCAATTGTTCTTCTTTGTTGTTAGAACAGGATTTTTGGTTAATATAAACCTCAGTGTCCTAAATAAAGCATTTAGTTATGTTACTAAGACATTAACAACTTGTCAAATGTTTTAGTACGGAATTGTATTGGTTCCCTTCTACTCATTAACACTTTACTATCAAAAAGATGTTGAATGAGTACTTTGGAGAATAATTAATTTCTCTGCAAAATATTTTCACATATAAAATTTATTTAATAATACTCGTGTGTTTTGGTATAAATTTTTTTTGTACTCGTTAGCAATTGAATTGAATTGATATCGAACATGTTGTACTTTAGAAAACTTTCAGACCTTTTAAGAATGTTCAGACTGTATTGTTTACAGACTTATCTTGTCTCACTTGAATTATTTTCATGTTTTATCCCAGCTATATATGCTTTTTTCTTTTGAATCTAAAGAATATACTAGTGTTATTTCAGGCTTAATTTTATCCTTTAGGATTTCCACAGACAATGGCATATTAATGTAGAAAGATTACCAAATACCTCTCAGCACTTATGATAGCCAGCTGTAGTAAGCCCTAAAATGGAAGTATATCATTGCCACGTGACAAGCTGTTTACATTTACTTATTAGGTGACCCCTTTATTAGAATTCTGATATTTTTAACCTTGGAGATTAATGTAGCATCAAAATTACTTAAAATACATTAAGAAAGATCTTTTGAATTCACATGCTGTTATAATGGAATTCTTACATTATAGTTAAATTTCTTTACTAAGTTTTCAGAAAGTAAAGGGTAGGAGGAGAGGGTGAGATATAATAACAGTTTGGTTACTTTTTTGAGCTTCAAATAAGGGGTGGGTCTTGAAAAAGTGGTTTTTAGTCACCAGATTTTTGCCATTCACCTACCCCATTGCTTTTTGAACAGTTCCTTAGCCCTGGTCCCCCCTGGTACAAGCCAACGCCCCCTCCAGTTATAAGCCCATCGGTCTGCTTACACAAATTTCCTTTATAAGCCCCCTTATTCATTTGCCCCATCTCTAAAATCTCATGAAGAGATAACTTGCTAAAAACTAGTGTGAGCTGCGTCAGTGTTTCTAATGAAACAGTAATGATAAAAAGGTCAATTATACACCGTGAAAAGATGAAAAAACTTACACCGGGGGGGGGGGGTACTCCTCATATGGACTATACGGGGATGATCCGCTGAACAGGGTATGGTTTTTCAAGCTTCTTGTCATAAACAGGGTATKYWWTTTMMYWAARKTYCMAWKTTTTTCCTGAGTTTCCTGTCATATTCAGGGTTTCTACTTTTGTATTGACCGAAACTGGTTATTATGGTCATAAAAAAACAATATGCAAGATGACATGATAAATGAAACAGGACCTCAGTGCAATTAATTATATCTTTTGTCATAATCAGGGTCTACAAATTTGAGTTTTTTTGTCATAAACCGGGTACCCCTTTCGGAATCCCAGTGGAACACCCCTACCCAAATCCTGGTGGAATACCCCCCCCAGGACTTACCCATCTTTTCATGGTGTATAATTTACCTTTTTCTCATTCTGTCTAAAATCTCATATGTTTATTTGGTTCATGAAAAATAAGAGATTAACTGGAATAAGAAAAGAAAAAGAAATAACTGTCCCTTCCTACCCAATAATTAATATGAAATAATGATAATAATAGTAATGATAATAATAATTTTATATATACATATATTTATATACACCTACTTGCAAGAAGTTGTCATACAAAAAAAGAACATTAGTGATTTAGTGGGATAGGAATTATATTAAAGAACAAAAGAAGATCACTGAAGCTGAACTTTTTCTTTTGTCTTTTAATGTATTCCTTTCTCACTAAATTACTAATGTTCTAATATCGTATGACAACGTTCTTGCAAGTAGGTGTATATAAACCCTTTTGTAATTTTGTTTTTCCAGGTTGGATATTTTGGACTCCAGTATTTCACTAAAAAAGGATCAGAATGGTGGCTAGAACTTGATAAACCAGTCATTAAACAACTTCAACGGCATGCCAAGGATTATACCAACTGTACCCTAGAATTCCAAGTTCATTTTTTTGTGGCTAATATATATTGCTTACAAGAGGAGATTACAAGGTAAATTGTGAATTGCCAAATTTTATTTGGTTCATTAGATAAAAAGAATGCCTGAATATCACATTATTATATTATTGATATTTATGTACTGTTTAATAAACGAGCAGGTGTGTTTTATCGGGTATAAAACACGAGGCGTAGCCGAGTGGTTTTAGACCCGATAAAACACGATCTGCGAGTTTATTAAACGGCTTAAAAAAACTCCCGATGTATGTTCTCATACTGTACCAAATTCTTTACGAAATGAACCAAGTTTGATAGAGAAAATCCAAGTTAAAGTTTATGCAAATGAAGACGAATCTATATCAGATATAAAACCTCCTTCATGGTCATGATTTCTATTGTGTTTCCTTCATGAATTATTAATGAGTTTTTTAATTATTTATAGTCCTTTAATATAAGCTGAATGAACGCTTTTATTTTAGGTATTTGTATTACTTACAACTCAAGTCCAATGTCCTGGAAGGAAGGCTGGCGTGTACTGAAGAAGCAGCCATTGTTTTGGCTTCCTACATAGCTCAAGGTATGGATCATAATAGTTTAAAGTAGTATTTTGGGATTCAGATACAATAGTTGTACAAACCATTCTACACCCTCATCTATCCCATGATACATTGAGAGATTGTCACATTGAATGCTTTTATCATAAAGAACAATGAACTATAGCGTTTTAAACAATAATGATAAAATAACTGTTATAAATCTTGCACAATGATTGGTTGGGAGCGTGTGCTTTATGAGAGCACACAGCACGCTCGCACCCTTTGCATTTTATAAAAGAAGTAAAAAACTTGCTTGCTGTGCTGTGGTGAGTTATAAAGCACTTGAGAAGTGTCAAGAAGCACTCTGCTGCGCGTTGTACTTCTTCTGACACTTCTCTCATGTCCTGCCAATCCCCTACGCTTTATTAACTGCATGTCACAGCACACACGTGCATTTTCTATTTCTTCAATAACAAGCTACTCCCTAGTTTATGCCACAATAATTAATGTGGGTATTAGAGACAGGTAGTTATAAATGTTTGTGTGAAGTTCTGAGCTTTCTTGAGTTGCTGATTTCATTATCTCAAGATGGAACCCCCCTCCACCTTAGTGGCAAGGTTGGGGAACAGTGCCAGCCCTTAGAATATGAAAGTATCAATGATATCATACAGTAATACATGTATAAACAATCATGATAATACTGTATTTTATATCGTTATTGAATATTTCTCTACAACATTATAATATATTTTATCTTATCAGCTGAGCTTGGAGATTGCACTGAAATACAGAATGTCAATCAATTGATGGAATATGAATTGCTACCAAGAGTAAGTAATAATTGAAAAAAAAAAAGATTTCACTTAATATTACTCGATTTCCACATAATACAGTTGTAGTTTAATTGTTGTTTAATCAACGATGGTGTCACTGGGGGAGGGGGTCAGCATCATATTTCACACATTGATATTTCTAAAAATCAGGCATCACATACTGTATAATTTTGAGGCATATTAAATGAATCAAGAATATTTACTAAAGTTTATAAACTTTATCAAATCAAATCAATCATTTATGAATCGACACGTACTTTCCTAGAGAAGTTGAATCACGTGTCATAGCAGACCTGGAATTCACGATTCACACTCTACAATACATTTTGCTATATGTATGCGTATCACACTTATTTTAGCCTGAATCACGTGTCACACCTAATCCCTACGCCACCTTGAATTGAATGATCTTAAGCTAATTAAGTGGATCCACTTCACATGTTTTTTGAGGGTCATTAGCATCTTATGTTCCTCCACTATGACTGACGTACCTTGAATAAGGTTATGATGAAACTGAGTTGTTTTTTTTCCCAGAATCTGGTGCCCAACAAGTCTAAAGTGGAATTGTATCAGCAGGTAAAGTCTAATGCATACATATATGCTATTTACCAGTCAGGAGGTCTGAATAGGAAAAAAACTGTGTTCAGATTCATCTGGAATATATGGCTGGGGTCTGTTTTCAAGAGCAAGGACACAGTTTTTCCCTATCTGGACCAGCTTTAGGCTGGTAAATGAATTTGTTCCCTATTTCCCATTTACTTTTTCAATTATTTTTCAATTTATTTTGTTGCTTAAGAATACAATTTCCCATATTCAAGCTTGGATGACCTAAGACTTATGTCAGGATGGTCAGGACGCAGACCGAGATAGAAAATACCACCCTTTTGCACAGCCAATCAGAACGCTCAATTTTTAGGATTTTGGGCCGGAGAAAAATAACTTCAACTTTTATAAGATTATTTGCCCTATGTTTAGTGGACCAAATGACTGAGTATGGCTGTAATACATTATAAACCTACATACAATGTACGCATAGTGTGTATATAAGATCTTTTTCTCACACTTTAGCAGCCACCACTTTTGCTTACATTAAGTTTTAACTGCCATAAAAAAGTTGTAAGCAAGGATTAGGATATTGGTAGAGTGTTGGTAGGTTGTTGGTAAAATGTTGGTAGTATGTACATGTATCAGTAGGTATACAAACATGTACAGTCTGTTGTTCACTTACTCATTCAATTAGTTTTATTCTAAACTATCATTGATGAATCATCTTGACCTGCTAAAATACAGCTCTCTTTTTGCTTTTCCAGATATTTGACACGTACAAATCTTACAGGTAATTAAGATATATTATTAAATAGATATTCTTTAACTATATTAAGCAAAGGTGTTAGTGTGCCAGTTCTTAGACTGCTTTTCATAGTCTGTTTTTAAATACAATTACAGTATTTGATATTATGATCTTACACATTTTTGCAGTGGCCTCAGTAGAAGTGAAGCAGAAATAGAGTTTGTAACATTGACACAACAGCTGGAAGGATATGGGGATGAATACTATCCTGCTAAAGTAAGTAGGATGTATAATTAACTCCCACTTTTGCAGGCTATATGTAACAATCAAATAACAAGGAAAAAGCTGTGTCTTTTGCTATTAAAAGGATGCGAGGATCTAAAATTTTGAATTATGGGTTGTGATAGTGATAATTATGGAGGAGTGCTTTTGTGGAGGATAAATTTAAAGGTAAAGTACCTGTATTTAACGTCACTAGTTCCTTCAGTTGAAATTCAACTGCTATCAATGGAAGCCGACAGTGCGCACTTTACTCAGATCAACCAAGAACAAAATGTTGCACCACTGTGGCAAAAGTGCATTTAGGGAAATCCTGGGGCATGCTCTTCCAGAACATTTAAATGTTTGATTTTCTGCTATAGATGTTTCTGAGTACAATAAACAAGATGCTTTCTGGTCTAGCTTGGGTATAGACTACAGCATTTAAGACAAAATGAACAAAAGGAGTTTGTACCCGAACTAGACCATGATGCCTCATGTTCGCTAACTCAGAAAAAGCCAGTTTATACCACTAATCTGTCCATGGGTAGGAGTRTATATATATATGAGGAGGAAATACATTTGCCACGTAGGAATCTAAACATCACCAAACCAGAATGATTAATCCAGCTCATAGCTACAAATTATCATCATAATATGTAATAAAAAATTTGAATCTCTATATTTGCTTATAGGATAATAAAGGTACATTGATTCTTATTGGCGCAACATTTCTTGGCATCATCATCCGACATCCACATGGATTACCACCTGTCTGCTTCAAGTAATTATCTTTTAAATGTTTTTTCCCATCACTCCCTTGAAGGGGTTCTTCTGTGAGTTTCACTCTGACACACACGCTACCAGTACGTTCACTATTTACAACACACGACATTCAACTCACAGTGAGAAAAACCAGAGAACCCTGAGAAAACTTGCTCGTGTCAATCCCTTCGCTCCCTGTAAGGGGCCCTTCCAGAAGATTTGCTCCACACACACTACCACTACATTCATTCTTCACACACACACACTCACTCACTCATTACTAATTTCCATGCATGTCATTTTCTTTATTATTTCTTTTTTTCTATCAAATTCATTATACAAAAATCTGTTGTTAATACAACATTTCGTTCTGTAACTTGCAACGCATTGCATATGTTGTGCAATATGTTGTATGTTTTTTAACCCATGTTACCACACTGCCGTTTCAGGTGGCCAGATATCGTACATATTTCATACTCTAAGAGATACTTCTGTGTTGAAACAACCAAAACCTTGGATACAATTCAATTTGGAATGGTAAGAAATAGCTTTAATTCTTATTGCTTAAGCTCGATAAAATTATTACCTTATGATGAGCCATTTAACCATTTTACTCCACGATTTTCGTCATCTCGCTACGCCTCGTGAGTCCACAACATTTTCACAGCTAGATGACGAAAAAAGTGATAAATAAGAGGACACACAACGGAAAACTGTAGGAAATTGCTTTTTTACCACAAAAATTCAAAATCTTACTACAAAAATAAGGGTAAAATTTGAAAGAAAAACGGGGTTTCCAGCGCGCCTGTGATTTGCTGACGTAATTTATCGATATGTCCTATTTCCCCCGGCTCTAGACCAATCAGAAAGCGAGAAAATTCACAATGGTGGTAAAATAGTTAATTGGTTTAGTTGGTTGAGCACTGGACTGTTGTGTGAGGGTTCGTGGGATCAATATCTGGCTAGACCAACACTCATGGTCTAAAAATAACTTAGGAGAAAGTGCTGCATAAGTCTTTGTACCTTTATCTTCACTAATAACAAATATCGGTGGGGTTGTAAATAAACCACTTCATTTTTTTGATTTGATTTGCGTTCTAATTGGCTGTTTGAGCAGGCGGTATTTTGTCAGCATCTGCCCACGGTCGTGGACTGGTATCCTTGGCCGCTAAGCAACAAAACAAAAACAAGTAAAAAAATACGGGCGGTGGTCTGTATATTCAAGAGCTTGGGCACAGTTTTTCCCTATCCGGACCTCCTGGCTGGTAAATAACATATATGTGGTACAGCATTAATTAACCCTGGCAGTGACCACCCTCAGTGTCTATACCTTATACTAACCTTCTCTTATGAACATAAATTGGTTAAAAGTGATTTGAAGTGCGCATCTCAATGGAAAGCACATTTGATTATATACATCTATTTGAAAAAAAGTTGGTGAAAGTTTTTTTGCATGTTGCATACCAAGCTGGAATTGCTCTGTGCATGATGTGGATACCATCAGCGAAAGTTTACAATAATATGGAATTTTCTTAAGCTTTGTCTGCACATTTTTTCGGTATATTTTCTTCTGTGCTGACATTATTTACATATGAATATAGTACCTTTCAAGCTTAGTATGCAAGATGCAACAAATCCTTCTCCAACCTTTTTGAAATAGCTTTATACATAAGCATGTATTATTATAAGTTAATGTGTGTCCATTTGCTTCCTTGGTAGGAGGATAGTTCTACTGCTAAATATGTCTGGAAGATGTTTGTTGGTCATCACAGATTTCGTCGTTTGAACGTTACCAGAACTCCTCGGGAATTCGAAAAATCCCGGTAACATACATCTACAAGCGTTGTTTGCTTCAGCCATGGCCTGGTTGTACAAAGGGTGGATATTACTATCCGATGGATAAATCCTTATCCAGTGGATAAGTCACTGTTGTTATCAAATAATTTTATCCACTGGATAAGATTTATCCGTCGGATAGCGCTATCCAACCTTCGTACAACCAGGTCCTGTTCTTTAACATAAATAATGATAAAAATGATGATGATGACGACGACGACGATAGCGCAGATATATAAAAATCTCTCTGCGCTTTACAATAATAATAACAAAAAGAAAAAGTAATAATAATAACGAAAAATAATGCACTAAATCGAAATGCAACAACCAACCCAAATAAATATCACTCTCCCAACTCACGCGAAATAAAGTGACACCATTTAAAATTCCAATCGTTTTGTTTACAGACCCCCGAAAAAGATGATCGTTGACAGAAAGATGACGCTTAATACTCTCAGATCCAAGGAAAATATGGCGGTATCGACCGTTACACTACTTGAAACAAGCCCTGTAAGTAGTAACATTATTGTCGGTATTGATGAAGGAAGAAATGATAATCAAGGAAATGGCACGTGGCCTGCATAAAAACGAAAATTACTATGGATTTATTTTTGGAAACAGAAAAAAGGTGGACGTTTTGGTTCTCCATTGTCATAATCAATATTTTTATTGTAGGAAAATAGTGAAAGTATTGATAATAATGACTGTATTGACGGTGGTGCGTACACTCCAGGTAAGCTCTTCAGAATTCATTTTTTCTTTCTTCCTCCTTTTGTTTTGTTTTGTTGTTTTGTTTTTTTTCTTTCGAT